CAGGCTGCTGTGAGCACCCCTCAGGTTTCTGAGAGGTGTTTTTCTGTCTGCAGGACGTTCATCTTTGTGGCTTTGCAGGATATAGAAGCTTCTGTTCTTCAGTCAGGTTCTGTTGAGGTGCTGTTTTGTTAAGGATGGGTAAACATTGCTTGGCTTCCCAGTGAGTGGTAGCAAATTTCTGACCCTTATTTTACTGGCTGGAATATTTTTGCTTCCCCTAGAAAAGCCTGTCACGTGTGAATGTTTGACCCCATTGACAGCTCTTCATAGCAAGTGTCAAACTGAAAGGCTGGTAACCATTTGTGCCTCCACCTTCTGCTTTGCTGACTGAAGTTTAAACAAAGTGTTTAAAATGTGAAATCTTAGTGTACAAAAGGGAAGGTCTTTCCCTTGTGTCTGTGTATGATAGCAACAGGTATGTTCTAGTCAAGTGCTGGCACCAAAGAAATGAGAAAATTGCCATTAAAAGTGGATTATTATAAATCTAATTTCTAGGTATTTAAATCCAGTGTAAAAATTAATGCACACTTTTTCTATGGTATCTGGTTGAGTCTGGGTAACTGTGTGTAAACATTCCAGATGAGTTTAGGACCTGCTGCTGTGCTCAGCATGAGAGGCAAGATGTTCTTCTTATCAAGATGTTCTTATACCTTCTCAGTAGACCAGTTGAGAATTATTTTTTAAAAATTAGATGTGTTTGCTTGCACAGCCACCTTTTGGGTTTCAAGTATGCTGGTGTATTCATTGTCCTTGCCTTGATTTGCACCAGGGAAGGTTTAGGTTGGATATTAGGAAGAATTTCTTCACCTAAAGGGCTGGCCAGGGCAGTGGTGGAGTCACCATCCCTAGAGGTGTTCAGACAACGTGTAGATGTGGTGCTGAGGGACATGCTTTAGTGGTGGCCTTGGCAGGGCTGGGTTAACAGTGGCACGTGATGATCTTCTCCAACCTAGATGACTGTATGATCTGGAAGATGTGGTGGATCTTATATGAATGTTGTGGCTCTTCCTAGGTGACCTGGGTTGCCTTGTTTGGGCTCAGGCCATGCCATGGTTGCCCTGGCTGCTGCATTAGCCCGTGGTGGATCTAGAGAAGCTGTACCCACTGTCCACCCACTGTCTGCTTCCTTTACCAGCATCCAGACGTGTCCCAGAGTCTAGACTCTTTGTTCAAACCAAACCAAACCAGCAGATTGGTTAAAGCTGCTAAACCAAACTGTCTTCAGTAGAGCCCTGTGGTGAATATGCATGGCAAAGACGTTTCATTTTGAGAAGCAAGGCTTATTGTATTAAATTGTCATAATATTCTTAAAGACTGTTTCCAAAATATTGGAACAAATACAGAAACGAGATTATTGTGCCATAGAAAGGAAAGAATAGATGAGCATTTGGCTGCTTAATCAGCCCTATCATTAAAACAGCTATGTCAGCATCCTTTTGTACTTTCTCCTTGGCTACAGCACCGAAGTGGAGCAGGACACACAGGATTTTCTCAGCTTTAGTAGCTGACCTATAAAGCTATTAGAGTCACAGGTTTTAAAACTGGGCCATGGACAGCCTTACAAATAATCTCTACACACAGGCACGTACATGGAAGGTCTGTCTGTCAGCCACCAGTGACCATCTTTAAAAGGCTGCTTTTTCCTTTTATAACATTATTATGTAGTCCTTGAGAGATGTAGTTTCAGTGGAAGGATGTTTCCCTTGTGAATGGGTTTGGGTGGGACCTGGGCAAGCTGTTTGGTGGGAGCCTAGGGAAAGGAGTTTGTTACAGAGCCCTTCCCTCCCACCCCTCTTCCCAGAGCCAGGCAGCAAAACTCTGCATTCAGGCTCAATGTAAACTTGAGGAAAATGTCTGGAAGTCTTGGAGGGCAACGTTAAAAAAACCCAACCCAACAACAACAAGGAGACAGTAAGAACCTTTTACCACAGATGGGTCCTGAAACCTGATGGTAGTAGAGGCAAGTGCAGGAAACAGAACCATCCTTACAGGTATGGTTGTGTTACTGTGGGCTGTTTATTAGGATCCTCACATTTTGTATCCAGTGCAACCTTATAGGACCTACCTGGCCCAGTTCTCAGTGGTTTAAGTGGATACTGGCTATAGTTTGCCTCTTAATTTTGGTGGTTGCTTTTAAATAAATGTTCTTTATAATGGCATTGTTGTACAGGATTATAAGATGTTCCTCTCGTGCTAGAGGCAGGTGGGCACTAGATGAATAATACACTATGGTTGAAAAATACTGGTGCTGTGTCCCTGCAAATGCCCATTTCTGAGGGGCAGTATTTCTTCTTTGGAATAGATTTGGAATTACTGACACATTTTTCCACAGCTGGAGCTAACATTTGTGTTTGATTGACACTATTGACAACACACTGCTTGTATTGATGAGGCTTTGAAACTTGCCAGAATTTAATGGCTTTTTTCCTGCTAGAAAAGTGCCACATGTGGTCAATGATTACTGTAAATTGTGAATGTTGTTTTAAAAAGTGTGTGTGTGGGGATGACTGGCCAAATGTGGCAGAAAATCCTTAGCTGTGAGAATGGTTTCAGTATGTGCCAAGGATGTGTTTGAGCTCAGGTTACAGAAAAGATTCCTGACAGGAAGACCCCAACCTGCTTCAGCTGTGTGGGTGTAAGGCCCCATTTCCAGCTGCTTAACCTTCACTTACCGAAATTAAAGCTTCAGGTTTTCTGTCCTGAGTATTTTGGGTTCCTTCATGTTAGTTCTTTGAAGTTGAAGACTGTCTGCCAAGAGACCTGGAGGGTTGAATCCCAGCACCACGAGCTACTGGAGACGATGTGGGCTGATCAGAGCTGTTCTCATGCTTGACTTCCCAGTAATACCATCCCACAGAGAATACACACCAGCTTGGGAGTTACCAGTGTTTATTCAGATGTAACTTTCAGTTGGTACAGTGTGTGTCTTTCTGAATTCTCAGGGTTTATTTAGCCTGTGCTCTCTGTGTTAATCCCCGCGTGCGTTGCCACAGCAGCTCAGCTCCCACACAGCTCAGCGGGTGGAGGAGGAACAGTCTTGGAAGTTTTGCTGTGTCACATCAGGGAGATTTTCCCAGTTCAGCTTTGCTGTCAAGAGGGATACCAGGCTTTCTTTTTCTTTAAAAGGAAAAGGTCAGTCTGGACAGAGCAGTGATGAGCAGAGGAATGAGCAGTGTCCCAGCCTCGCTGTGTGTGCTGCAGGAAGCCACGAAAACCAACTCGTTTGGCCTCTGGATAAACCATCTCCAAAGGATTTGCTGTTTAGTATGGAAGTGGGTGAACAGATACTGTTAAATGAAGGTGCTGTTTTTCACATAATAAGTGATTTCCACTCTGGAGGAGATAATTTATGCCTACTACCCAGGCAGGAATTGTGATTAATATGCTGCATTAGCTGCTTGAGCAGATAAAATCTCAGGGCCTAAAGATCTTGTTTCATGCAGATGAGGCTAATAAGAAAATCAGAGGGAGATAACACCCTGAGAAAGTGACGTAATGTATAGAGCAAGTTATACCCTGTCAAAACTGTGAAGCCTGAATTAATTGTTATCAGACTTTCCTGTAAAGAAAGTAGGGGAAAAGGCTTTCAAATTGGGACACCCCAAGCTCCACCCCTGCAGCATGATGGAAATGGACCTGGCCTGTTTTGGCAAAGAGAGTGTGATGGCTCTTGTTTTCATCCTCTACCTAAAGGGAACAGTGATGATTTTTCTTTCTCCAGGAGACCATGTGTCTCACAGGCAGCATGAGCCAAACACTGACAGCAGGTGGGCTTTGGGATCTCAGGTTAGTCACAGCAGGAGATTTCTCTTGGTCTTCTCTTTAGTCTGAACCTAATAAACCCAACTCCACTTAGGCAATTCTTCTCTCTTAGACCTATACTTTAAAGGTAAATTGCTTTCTATATTTCTGCTCAATTTGATAATATATAAAAGGTTTCCTGGGGTCACTGAGTTTAACTTCAACTGCTAAGCAAGTCTTCATGTTCTTGTATTCATCACTCTGTGTCATTATTCATCTGATCTCAACATCTCTTTCCAGGGCTGTAGCCCAGACAGGTATTTGTCAATGTAGCAAATCCATTTCTGACCTGCTAGCAACCTTCTGCTCACTGACAAACTCACACTTTCATTTTAAGGTGCATAATAAAGCAGTCAGGTCATACAGAGCAGGGGTGGTGACATAAGATGGGTGGTGACACCAGTACCTGCAATGAATACAGGTCATAGAGAAATTTCTCCTCCTGTAATTGAAACTAATGTCTTTGTGCACAATAAATTGAATTTTGAAAAGCATATTAGGGAGAAA